ACAAGTAAAAGTGTGTGTTTGTTCCTTACAACATATTTATGTGCTATAGGTTTGCCAGTTCTATATCAGTCTATAATTTTACTTGGTTGAATGAGCATTAATTATGCATAATATACAGGTATAAAATAGTGATTTCACATAAAAAAAATTGCAGTTATTTTTTTCAAACCACTTACCTACCCAACCAACTATTAGCTATTGAAGCTTAACTATTTCCATGAATGCAAGTTGTCAGTCAACATGGGACTTCTTGTGTTTCTTTTTTACAAACAAATCTGTGTTCATGATAAAGATGTCCTTACCAGCAAGCTGTTTTCTATCATCTTCAATGATAAGATGTTTCAATTATCACAACTTCTGACAAAAAAGGCTTCTAGTAGTCTATCCAGTGTCATTTAAGGTACAGCAATTCATTATTACTTTCAAGCATTTTTAGTAACTGCCCTGAAAACGTTTGTCTAGTGTTAGCACTGATGTACTGAAAGTAGTTTTTCAGTATCACAAACTGATATACAGTGTTCTCAGAAGCAGAGCACATTAAGATATTAGATGCCATTTGCATTATCACACAGCAGGGGGCTATAGCAGCTACATTCTGGGATAATCCTAACCCAACTCTTTATACAAAGAATACTGTAAAATAGTCTTTAATATTATAGCTTCACACACCTGAAGTGTTTACAATACACTGTTTGGTTTTTAAGTAAAATCAATTAGAGGGCATCATTTCAACTCCCTAGATGTTTTAAATGCAGACTGGAAACTTTTTACATTTAGGGAATAATATTGCTAAATTAATTTAGTGGAAGAGTTAAAGCAAAATGTGACAAGTATCATTATGAACAAATTAAACAATTTAGCCCCTTGGGATATAGTAATAGTGCTTCTGTAATGACTACTTAAATTTAGGGTTTCTAAACTATAGAAGGTACTGTTTCCACACCAGCCACTAGAAAGGGCAAAAGAGAATAACTTCAAGTTTCACATCTCTGAACTCATCTGACAAACTGCTTCTAACCTCAACATATTATTACTCCTCTCACCAGATCTACCCTCCCACAGTAAGTCAGTAATACCATGAAAGTTTCAGAAAAGAGCAAACAACAAAAACAAACCTTAATTAGCTGCTTAATTCTAATGCTATTTCATGCAATAGCCATTATTTGTTGCCATCTTCCTATTTCCAGTGCTTCATCAGTACCCAGGACTATTTTTGAAACTGAGGCGCCTAAAAGGCAATGCCCCAAAAGCCACACTCCCATTTGGGACATGTAAGTATGCCTACATGGCACAGTCTTTAAGTTTAATTAGTTAAAATTTCATTGAAATGAAGTCCTCACAACCTGAAGTCAGAAATGTTTGAAATCCACTGGACAAAGTTTTTATTCATCTAATCAACTAGAGGAAAACTGAGTATCCTAAGGCCCAAAAGGAGGAAACTTGAACAAATCAATTGAATTGCTTAACAGCTTTGTGGAGCAATGCAAGCCAAATAGGAAAAAGCTACTTTTACATACTTATTTATTGTTGGCAGCTTCACATGTGCATGTCTAATATACTTAACTGTGCTCACTAACTGTACCAAATTACATGGTACAACTGTGTAAACAAAATGTATGAGGTACCAACATAAAGTGGAGTGGAGCAACAGTGTTCAGTGAAACTCAACCATCACTGTACAGATATTTTCCTCGCAAAAATTCAGTAATTTCCTCTTTTAATCTTACTAAAAGAAACAAAGGATAAATGTATATTACTCATGTTTCAGACATACTCCAGAAACATGGTTGTCATTCCTAAGCATCTCAAAGTGGCATCCAGGAAAAATGCCTCCTGAAGAAGCGCTCACCTAGAGGTAAGCAGGTGAATACTTGAGGGGAAAAAAAGGGATTGACATTCTACCCCTTTCAATTACAACTCAAATGTGAGGTTAAAAACATGGAAACATGTCGTAAGTGTGGGAGAGAGCCAGATAGTAGTAAGAAGGAACCCCTTCCTTTCCCACAAGGGCAGGCCCAATTTGGCTGCTTTCAGTCAGAATACACCTTTCTTTATGCACTGTTTATTTAAACCCAATGCTGCTTGCGCTAGTGCATTTTCCCTGGCACACTCAAGCTGTTGTGAAAGCCACCACTTTTTACATCACCATTTGCTTTTAAAAACCTGATGTACTGAATGCATCTGATTACATCTTAAGAAAAAGATCAAATTCTTCTCCTCCAGCAGCAAACCTGATTTCACTGGCGAGAGAAAGTCAGTCCAGACAGGTTTCCCCACTCACCCCCTTCCCCTTGCAGCGCAATGAATTGACAATTCACAGGGCAACGTAAAGGCACACGAGAGCCTCGACCCCCCGATGCAGCCCAGCACACATGCTCAAATAAATCTTGCATTATAGCATCAACACAGGAGCGCCTTGTGCATTGACGTACTGGGCAACTCATACAGATCCGTAAGGAAAACAAACACTATACAACCATCATTTGCAGTCACCAGATTAATTTAATCCCCTCTTCCCTTCAACATCACCACTAAACACAACTTCCTCAGAAGGTAAAGTGGGTACAGCCTGCAGGTTAGTGAATGCAGAAGAAATACAAGCAGATGCGTTTATTTCAGCCGCCCAGCAGATGACTTCTGCTGTTGGAGGGGAGGGAAGTAATTTAATCTCCTCTCTGGAGACCTCGGCACAGGATGCTCACTAACGAGATTTGAAAATACAACCAACTTCACATAACATGTCACAGGGATGAGACGAGGGAAGAACTAAAATCCCACAAGGTCACTTAGTTCATGTGATTCTTCCCCTTCCTTTACCCCGATACAAGAAAGGCCGGGATGCTTCTCTCCCTGCAGCCATCGTAAAGAAAAGGTGAAGGCGAGGAAGTTGCTGAATGACTGCTCATTGACCTCATTTAAATCCCGTAAAGGCCTCCGGGGGTGCTTTTGGCGAGGGGGAACTTCAGCCTCCTTCACCCACACGCACTAGTGTATCTGGCAACTTCTCGCCCCAATCAGCTGGAGGGGGGGGGGGAAGCGGAAGGGGGGACCCGACCAAACCCGGACTCCCCCACGCTGCAACCGGAGCGAAAGATCCTGGTTACTCTCCTTCCAGCACCACGGCCACATCCTCCTCCTCCCCACAACAGCCGGTTCCTCCATCCGGTGCCATTGATATTCCTCTTGCCTTCCCCAAAATAAGGAAAGGTTTCGAGAGCGGGGAGGGGCTTCTCTTCCCACCCCTCACACACACTGTTCATTTGCATGATAATAGTATTTTGTAGATTTCCCTCCACTGCAGTCACAGCGGCTGTTACTTTTCACTTGGAAGGCTCCTATTAATGAAGGCGAGAGGTGGTGATGATGCTGGGGGGGAGGACAGACGAGGGGGAGAAAGCCCACCCCAAAGACCCGAGTCTGGAAAGTAGCGGCAGGCTGCGAGGCATAAGCTAAACCGGGAGCCACAGAGGTTTCGGAAACCTGGCTTTGCTCCAGGGTGGGTTCCCCCCCTACCTAAATAAAAGTAAATCCTCTCGCTGCCTGCGTGCGAGCCCGGCACCGAGCCTCTCTCTTCTGCCTCTCGCCCATGCCAATGAGGCAGCGCTAGGAGCCACGCTCCCGCGGCAGGGACTCGGCTGCGGCGGCGGCTCCCCCTCTCTCTGCCAGCCAAAGGCTCGTTTGCCTGGGGGCCAGGGGGTGGACGGGAGGGAAGGTTCCGGGGAGTTGAAGGGCTGGTGGGGGAGGAGGATTAAGGTTCGGGAGGCGCGGCAGGAGGGCGGGAGGCTGGGGGCCAGGAGCGGCGAAGGGGGGGGGGAGAAGGAGCAGGACGGGGGTGCAGGGCAGGGCTCTCCACCCGGCCGCCCTCACTTCCCCCTCGCGGCGGGGTCCCCGGGACGGAGCTGGGGGCGGTACCTTGTATGAGGAGCCCGCAGAGGCTGTAGAAGCGCAGAAGGGCGCTGGGTCTCAGCCGCATCCTGGGGGGCTTCCCTCGGGCTGGGTGGGCGCCAGGCAGAGATTCCCGCCGCAGCCTCCTCCGGCCGCCTCTCTCCGGGCGCTTCTCTCCCCCAGCAGGAGCCTCCGCCGCCGCCTCCGCCGCAGTGTCTCCCTCTGCCTGCGCCGTATCCAGTGGGGTGAGGAGGAGGAGGACCAGGGTCGCGGGGGCGGGTGGCGAGGCGGCTCCTTCCTCCTCTGGCGCTGGGCAGGGCTCTCTCCCCTCCTCCCCGTGCAGCTGTGCCGGGCCCCCGCCCCCCCTCTGGCGCTGCTGGGTGCGGAGGAGGCTGGCAGGCGCGCGCGCCCGCCCGCCCGCCTTGGGTCACGAGAAGGCTGCTCCGCTCCCAGCCGCTTCCAGCTCTAGACACAAGGGCAATCTCAGCGCGGATCCCCCCTCCCCGCCCGGCCCCGCCTCCTCGCCTAGGCACGCCCCCGCACCGATGGCCACGCCCCTCGGCCAACCCTTAGCAGCCACGCCTCTGCTTTAGCCCCGCCCACTGATGCCCACCTCCTTCTCTAAGCTCCACCTTCCGTCACG